ATTGCCGCAAGCACATTTTATTTCATTTTATTTATTTAAAATATTTTTTATCTTGCCTTTCTTCTTAAAAAGAACACAAGGTGGCTGACACCATTAAAAGAAAAATATTTAAAGCTAAAAAAAGTTTACAGATACTAAAAAGGATCAAAGAACAGCCACACTAAAAATGGTAAACAAAAGCAGCACCAAAAACACATTCAAAGTAGTACGGCACAACCATCCACAAGGTATGTATGGCAGCCTATTGATCTATCCATCTACCCTGGCCTTCTTCCATGTGTGGCAGCTGGTAACACTGGGACAATGACGGTGGCCTGGCCAGCCACTTTTCCTGGTATGGTGGCTCCACATGGTGGCGAAGGAGGGTGCTGGGTCATGCTGGGAGCCTAACATGGGTCGGGGGAGGTCACAGTAGGGATGTGTGTGTGTGTGTGTGTGTGTGTGTGTGTGTGTGAGAGAGAGAGAGAGAGAGAGAGAGAGAGAGAGAATCAACTGGTCATGCTTTATACAGTAATTACATTTTTTGGGGCATAAGAATTATACAATGGTGCCTCACATTACGTTAATTCGTTCCAGCTGTAGAGCGAAAACATCGTAATGCAAAATTAAAAAGCCCATAGAAACGTATTAAAACCCGATTAATGCATTCCTATGGGCTTGAAACTCACCGTCCAGCGAAGATCCTCCATAGCGTGGCCATTTTCGCTGCCCGTGCAGCGAGGAATCCGTCCCAGAAAAGAGCGGGGAGCCATTTTTTTTACCCGGTGGCCATTTTGAAACCGCTGATCAGCTGGCCGAAATTCGGTTCCCGAAGCAGGGAACCGATTATCGCAAAGTGAAATTCCCCCATAGGAAACACCGTTTTGCGATCGCAAAAACTTCGCCGTAATGCGATTTCGTCGTTAAACGGGGCGCTCATCTTGCGAGGCACCACTGTACAGGGATATTGAACTACCCAAAAGTCTGGCGCCCTTAACTCTTTTATCGAAAGAAGTGTAAATCGTGTTCAACATGACTTTAGAGTGAGTACCACTAACAGTGGCAGTCAATTGGAGTGCTTAATGTTCCCTGGATCCTGCCCACAGTTTTGCTAATAAATCAAATGTATTCCAGGGCAGTCACAAGACTCCCCGTTTCTCTCCAACCTTCTATGGCTCTGCCACACATGTTTAATTGCCTCTTTGCAACACCTTCTAAAATTGCAAGCAGGCAGGTGGAAAAGAGGACTGAACGGAGAGATAGCCGCCCCTCGTTCTGCTTCAGCAGGCTTGTTATCTCTGAGGTGACGGGCTTTGCGCTTCAGCAACGAAAGGCCTGTGATGCAAGGAAAAGTAGGAACGCATTAAGTGTGTGTCGGTGTCTATACAGGTCTTTGGGGTGACCAGCCAAAGTCCCTGCTAAATCTCCCCAGGTATTTTCCTCCCCTGAACCTATGCAAGATGGGATCAGAATGAGGAATGCCTCTTGCCACCCTCCACCACTGCAAACTAAAATAGTAATAAAAAAGCTAGTTGCTGGAGTGCATAAAGAAGAAAATTGGACGATCCACTCCCCACTGCCTCCTAATGAGAAGCACAAACTCGAAGGGAGTTGAAAGTTTTAATTATAATCTTTCTGCCTCTAACAATGCAAAGCTAGGCCCCATCTGTGGCTAGTTTTCTCCACAAGACAAGCCCTCTTCTAAACTAGGTCAGGAATCATGGCAGGAGTGTGTGTGTGTGTGTGTGTGTGTGTTGTACATCTCCCCAGAGGGAGAATGTTCAGATACAGATCTTTTAACCAATTCCTGGGGCTAGCCAAAGACAGACATTTGACTGTCAGGAGAAGTTGCATCAGGACCCAGTACGTGAGGAAATTAAGACTGTTTAAGTATTTAAGACCATTTACAAATTCAATAAATAGGGCTCTTCTGGGTCTTTCGTCCCCTTACCTTGTGCAATCTGGTTTTTAGCACATTAGCCAGCAAAAGCCTTGGGAAACTCCAACACCATTCCCCCCCCCCCCCCCCCCACAAATAAACACTCCCCCCCCCCCCCCGCACCCACAAATAAACAGGAGGCATAGAGGTGGCTTGCAGTGACCAATCACTGAAGGGTTTTTTTGTGGGGAGGGAAAGACTGCTTTTTACACTCTCCCCCTCTTGTTGTTTTTCCTCTTGCTACTCTAATTTTCCTCTCCCTCTTTGCTGGGAAAGTCCCCAACTACACAATTCTCTGATAGAGGAACAGGCTGAAACAAGGATAACTGAAAGGCTGCCTCTTTCTAAACAAGCCTGCTCAGAATTTGAGATCTTCAGTGGAGGCCCCATTCTGTATCACCACCCTGAGGGTAAGTGAGTATCCAAGACAGAGTTTTCTTTGCAGTAACATCTCCAATCTCCAGCTCCCTTCCAACGGAAGTCATGCTGTCTGCATCCTTTCTGAGCTTCCCGTGCATGGCCAAAACTATATTAATTCCACCTGACTTGTAATGTTTAAAACTGACTTTAATCTGTTTTTTAAAATATATATATTATAAAATAATATAATATTATAATATATAGTTTATATCTATAATTGTATACTACCTTGGACAGAAAATCAGATAATTCCTCAAACCAGAGGTGTGCAGATTTTTTTGTTTTGAACTATGACTCCTAGAGTTGCTGTCCAAAAATCAACCGTCTGCTTCCTTCGGCTTTAAACCAATCAGTCCCAATTCTCTTCAACTCAGGACACAGCAGAGAACCCTCTTGCTCCTTCTTGCTTTTGAGCTGGGCAAGGCTTCAGGTTCTACCTTGCTGAGTTCTGACAACAAGACTTTTGGATTTACAAGAATCAGTCAGTTAGGCTGGGATTTGAAACAAATTCACAAACTATGGCAAGTTCTTTAAAGAAATGGGAGTGCCTAACCACATTATCTATCTCCTGAGAAATCTATACGTGGAACAGGAAGCAACAATTAGAACTGGATATGGAACAAAATTGGTTCAAAATTGGGAAAAGAGTACAATAAGGCTGTATATTGTCCCCCTCCTTATTTAATTTATATGCAGGATGCATCATGTGAAAGGCTGGACTGGGTAAATCCCAAACCGGAATTAAGATTGCCGGAAGAAATATCAGCAATCTCAGATATGCAGATGATACCACTCTGATGGCAGAAGGAATTAAAGAACCTCTTAAAGAGGGTGAAAGAGGAGAGTGCAAAAATGGTCTGAAACTGAACATCAAAAAACTAAGATCATGGCCACTGGTCCAATCACCTCCTGGCAAACAGAAGGGGAAGATATGGAGGCAGTGACAGATTTTACTTTTTTGGGCTCCATGATCACCGCAGATGGTGACAGCAGTCACAAAATTAAGAGACGCCTGCTTCTTGGGAGGAAAGCGATGGCAAACCTAGACAGCATCTTAAAAAGCAGAGACATCACCTTGCCGACAAAGGTCTACCTATGGTTTTTCCAGTAGCGATGTATGGAAGTGAGAGCTGGACCATAAAGAAGTCTGACTGCTGAAGAATTGATGCTTCTGAATTGTGGTGCTGGAGGAGATTCTAGAGAGTCCCCTGGACTGCAAGGTCAAACATATCCATTTTGAAGGAAATCAACCCCGAGTGCTCACTGGAAGGACAGATTCTGAAGCTGAGACTCCAATACTTTGGCCATCTCATGAGAAGATAAGACTCCCTGGAAAAGCCCCTGATGTTGGGAAAGTGTGAGGGCAAGAGAAGGGGACGACAGAGGACGAGATGGTTGGACACTGTCATTGAATCTACCAACATGAATTTGACCCATGTTCAAATTCCGGGAGGCCGTGGAAGACAGGGGGGCTTGGCGTGCTCTGGTCCATGGGGTCACAAAGAGTCGGACATGACTTAATGACTAAACAACAACAACAAAGACCCATTAAAAACATTGGAACTCTCCTGAGGAAAAACGCTTATGATTTTGCTGTCAGGTTGTTCTTTCAAAACCTTGCCATTGCTGTGCAGTTTATCAAGGCTATTCTTGTTTTGTGTTTATTATGAAGAAGAAGGTTGTGTGGGATAATGTGTGCATGTAAGCCATGAGAAGTAAAATATATTAAAATTGAAAGATTAGACATTATGTCTATACCACACCTCTCTCCAACCTTCCTGACACATTAATAACACCAATCTAATCAAGTTTAGTTTTCTCCCAGTGAAGCTGGTGAATTTTACCTTCTCAGCAAACTGATCATTCTGTTTGACATCTCTGGAGCAGAAGCAGAGGAGTGTAAAAACTCAGTTCATGCCTGTGGTAGACGTGCATTCAACATTCACAGCAGTTCCTTAGTTTGAACACCAACTCGGAGTTTTCATGACACAGCAATCCATGATTTCAAAGTGCCCTCAACAGATACCTGTGGTTTTCCTTGTTCTGACAACAGTGGGAGACAGAATCTTCAATATCCCTTTTGTTTGTTTTTAAAAACAGCCATTTCTACCTTATCCTAAAACTTAAACAGATTCTGGACTTAGACCTGCAAGGGACATGCAGTGGAGAACAAAACAGGGTATGCCTCATTTCCTCAATCTTTTTTTTTATGAAAAAGGAAACTGTGATCAGGAACAGAATGCAGGGAGAGAGCTTTAACTCCCTCTCCTCTTGTTTACTAAAGTCACTCACACAAGCTGCTTTCCTCCCTGTGAGGAAAGAAGACATATGGCCTCCACACTTTCCCCACACATGAGGAGAAAGCAGCGGCGGGGGGGGGGGGGTCCTTTAGTGTACAATTAGCAGGAAGAGAGAGGTGAATACTCCCCTCTATGCCCGTTCTGGTCTTGACTGCACCTTCCAAATTTGTTTCCCCAATTTTTATTTCTTTTAAAAGCCAGCCAAAAAAGAAGGATGTCCTCATCTATTTTGGCTCTAATTTGCAAGTTCTGAAGCTCCTTTGCCCTCTTCACCCAACAGAGTCGGCATGAAGAGCAGAGCACAGTCACGCACATGCATTCGGGGCAACACTGAAGCAAATCTCACACCCTTCTTTTTGTTGTCGTTCCCAGTTTATTTAAAAAATACATGTTACAGTTCAGCTCCCATCTGAGAATTCTGAGTACGTGACAGATGTTTATACAGGAGCCAGGGTCAGAAAGCCTAGCAAGAATTCATCTGTTATCCCAGCAGAAAGAATATACATTTTAATACTGATAGAGATGAAGCTGAGACTCCAAAGTGTGGGAAGTGTGGATTTTTGAAAAGCCATCTTTAAAGCAGTTTCACGAAGACACAACGAAGATGGTGCCAGTCCTCCAGGGGCTCTGGAATCTATCTAGCGCCATTTCCATGCAAGGCTGCTAGAGGCCTGTCCTATAAGGAGAACATAGATTAGAATGGGTAGTGCTGAGGAAATCTAACAGTGGCTCCAGGTACCACAAAAGCCATTGTGATGGTCGCCACTTGCCAATAACATGGGGTAATACCCTGTTTTCTAATTGCCAGCCCAGGCTGACAAAATATACATGTACCAAATTCTCAGGCAAGGTGACATATTTAGGTGACATATTTTTGGACTGCAATAGCCTGATCCTTCTCAGTTTGCTCCCTCCACTCCGGTTGCTGTCCTTTTGCTAGAAGGCAAAGACTTTTCTCTTCAAGCAGACCTTTCTTCAGTAACTGGCTGCCTATGAGTTGTTGTTGTTGTTGTTTTAAAACAGGTTTTATGTCTTTACATACAGTATTTTAATATGTTTAAAAATTGTTTAAGTTATTTTTAGTTTGATGTCACTTTTCAGGCTTTTTAATTTTGTAATTGAATTTATAGTATTTTTGGCTTTTAATACAGTTTTAATATTGTAAGCCAGCTTGGGTTCTCTTTGGGAGAAATGTGGGATATAAATCAAATCAGATGATGACATACTAGCTAGGGCTGGCAGGTGGATAGTCACTATTTGTTTTACCATGCTCAAAGTGCGGCCTGCATAGGGTCTCCAGTATCTCTGCATCATGCCCCTTTTAATTCTTTATTTCCTTTACCGAAAAAGTCCTTTTGTAGCCTGTAGGGGACACGGGAGGGAGACATGTTTTGCCGTATTTGCACCTGTACCTGCCCCCTCTTTGAAAAAGAGTACTTTTTAATAACGTTGGTCATACAGCACTGATGGTACCTGTCTGTCATGGGTTTGGAGGGAAAGTTCCATCCTATGGGGAGCGGAAGGCGGGACATCGGGGGAGGAGCTGTACTGTATATATATGTGGAGCTTGTGAGGAGAAGCTGGAGTGGGAGACTGTGTGTCAGACTGAGTACAACTGTGTGTCAGTTAGTACATACCTGATAGGTTCAGGTTTCTTTATAGGTAGCCAGAACTGATAGGTTCAGGGTCTGTGCTTTACTTTAAAGGGTTCTGTGGGAACCAAACTGTTATATGTATATGTTTAGGAGTTTGCCACGTTACAGTATCTTATTTACTTGATCTTTTTATTTACCCTGTTTGTTATTTAAATAAACCTTGCTCTTTTGTTTGTTAAAAATCCATTCCTGGTCTGTGTGACTCCTTATAGGGAATGGTTGGTGGCAGCTTAGTTATAGTGTGGTATATCCCAGTAGGTCTGGGGTTGTCACAAGAGCATTAGGGGACCTTTTCAGTTTTTTTAAAAAAAGGAATGTCTTTTTGTATGAAAAATTGGGGGCATAAGAGGTCGAAAGTGCATCCCACTCAACGTACCCTCTAATTTTCAGCCCCACTGGGTGGGGCTCCACCTCTCTCTCTCTCTCTCAGCTTTGCCCCCCATGCGCGCTACTTCCCCTCCCTTCCTCATGCGCTGGGTTCTGTCATGACCGGAACCTAATGTGATTGCTGCATGGAAAAAGAAGAGAGCTCTGCAGAGGGAAGCCAAGTTGTGCCCATGTCCAGCTGAGTGGAAACCTTGTTTTATGGTTTTATTGGAGAGATAAAGGAGTTAGCAAAATAGTGCATTCTGAAATATAGAATGCACCAACTGGCCAGTACCTATCACAGCCATTTTGTTGTTGTCTTGTTCTCTCTCTCTCTCTCTCTCTCTCTCTCTCTCACACACACACACACACACACACACACACACACACACACACACGGTATTTATGTCTATAGAAAGTGCTTTTTGTTTACACAGTGTAGATGTTAAGACCGCCTGGCGTACAACGGCTATTGTTTTAATAAACTGGAGCCAATTGGAAGTACCATATTTTCCCATGTACAGTGGACCTTCGACTTACAAAGGTCCCTACTTATGAAAATTTCGAGGTATGAAAAGCTCAGGCCGCAAAATTTTGCTTCGACTTGCGGCCGGAGCCCCGACCTATGAAAGGCAGGGGGAAAGGGTGGGAAATTCAAAGCCGCCCCCGCTGCCCTCTGCCTCCCATTCCCACGGGGACAGGAGGCAGAGGGCACCAGGGATAGGAGGCAGAGAGCAGCGGGTGCAGCTTTGGAAGCCCTGGAATTTTTTCTTCGGCCAGTTACGGATTAATGGGTATTCAATGCATTCCTATGGGAAATGGAGCCTCAACCTATGGAATTTTCGACTTGCGGCCATAGTTCCAATATGGATTAATTCCGTAAGTCGAGGATCTATTGTAAATGCCACATCGGGGGCGGGAGACAGAGAGCAGCAGAGGGGGTTTGGAAGAATGGGAAGCTCAAAGTCGGCAGCGGGCGCAGAGGGGACGGGAGGCAGAGAGCAGCGGGTGCAGCTTTGGAAGCCCGGGATTTTTTTTCCTTTGGCAGGATTAAATGGTTTTCAATGCATTCCTATGGGAAATGGACCCTTGACCTACGAACTTTTCAACCTGTGGCTGTTCCAATACGGATTAATTCTGTAAGTTGAGGGTCTACTGTATAAAATGACCTGATGTATAAGATGACCCCCACTTTTAGAAACCCAAATTAGAAAATTTGATCGCTGCTTTCCCCCTCCACTTCCTAAGCCCCGCAGAAGCAGGATCAAAGGGCTGTGGAAGTGGATGGGGAAAGCAGCAATCAAAGGCCTGCAGGATCGCAGCCCTTTGATCCTGCAGCCCTTTCATTGCTGCTTTCCCATGGGGCTTAGAAAGTGGCAGGGAAAGCAGCAATCAAAGGGCTGCAGGATCAAAGGGCTGCAATCCTGCAGCACTTTGATCCCCCCCTTTCTGTGTATAAGACAACCCTCAATTTTCAGTCTAAAGGTTTTAGATAAAAATATAATCTTATACACGGAAAATACAGTATCTTCATTCCTGTGATAAAGGAATGGGTGGATCTTTTTTAATGACCCGACTTACCTGGCACTGTCCCAACTTGCTGTGAAGACTTCACAGAACTGCCCCGTAGCCTGGCAATGCGGCTGCGAGGTGCACCCAAAGAGGAGGAGGCAGAGCTGAAAAGAGAGGCAACGGACATTAGAGCACAGTCAAATTCCTTAACCCACTGTCAGATACAACCAAGGAATGTAAATTTATCAGTGTGGCTGTACTAAGGGATTTTGTTGGCCAAGGCAGAGCAGTAAATGGTGTAACTCTGTTGCCCAACTAAACGTATAGTACCCTAAGCCAATCAAGTCCTTTTTAACACCTGGGATGGAAAATCTCACAAATGCTTTTTCTTGGCAGTAAAGATAAATTAACAATACATTAAATAATGGACCAAAAAAATCTGTAGCCTGAGTTTACCCCTCACATCACCTAACAGTCAAACCTGTTTATCAATCTTTTGTAAACTCAGCATATTTGCATACTTTGGGCTGCTTTGAGACATTCTGCCAAGGATAATTCTGGAAGCTTCTCACATCTTTTAATGTAAGCCCTTCTGCCCACTGAACAAAGCGCAAGCAGAATGAGATAACAGCGGATAGTGCTGTTTCAGAATGCCATGATATATTAATGCTCTACAATGTGAAATAAAAGTCCCTGCTGGTAAGAAAATAAGCACATCAGGGAGTGAAGTTTTAACCCTATCCCACTTCTCAGTTTTCCTATTTGGGGGAAAGTAGATGTTTGAATATAATCAGTCATGGTATCCTGTGCCAATAGTCTGAAGTGGTAGAGCCTGTTCTATCATAACGTGCCACCCAAACCCCTCATTAACTGAATTCACCTTGAAGCTGAAAGCCACCTTACTTTGTTGTGTGCCTCCTCTTCTGTGTTGATGCTCTGGATGCCAAGGAAGACGATCTTGGGATGGAGGAGCCCTTCATCGTGAACACCGGCATGGAAGCCCTGAAATTAACCCATTGAGGAGGGTGAATGCCATCATTCCTTCAAACAAGATTGGCTGTCTGTAGCCTTCCAGGCTCTTGAGAGGCCCCTGGACTGCAAGATCAAACCTGTCCATTCTGAAGGAAATCGACCCTGAGTGCTCACTGGAAGGACAGATCCTGAAGCTGAGGCTCCAATACTTTGGCCATCTCATGAGAAGAAAAAACTCCCTGGAAAAGACCCTGATGTTGGGAAAGTGTGAAGGCAAGAGGAGAAGGGGACGAGAGGACGAGATGGTTGGACAGTGTCATCGAGCTACCAGCATGAGTTTGACCAAACTCAGGAAGGCAGTGGAAGATAGGAGGGCCTTGCGTGCTCTGGTCCATGGGGTCACTAAGAGTCAGACATTACTTAATGACTAGAGAGGCCTTCCAGGCATTACAATTTGGTGATAGGAATTTGGGACAGAAGGGGAAAAAAGGTCAGTGTACATTTAAGAATTGACTCGTGTACACACTGTTGCCAGGCCACCACTTGTTAATTTTGTGAAGCCATTTTGTGTCATCAAAACAGAGTATCTTTTATAATCCGTTCTCCCATGTAGTGACTCAGAAATATGGAAGATGGCATTCACTCCAAGCAAGGAATGTGCAAGGTCCATTCTTCCCGATGATACTGGGCAACAGTTCTGTCAGCCGTAACCAGGAAAGAACAGTGAAGAACACTGGGAGTTATATTCCAGCGTACATTATCTGGAACACTGGTTCTTAACCTTTGTTACTCAGATATTTTTGGACTGCAACTCCCAGAAGCCTTCACCATCAGCTCTGCTGGCTGGGGTTTCTGGGAGTTGCAGTGCAAAAACACCTGAGTAACAAAGGTTAAGAACCACTGATCTGGAAGGCCACACTACACTTTGCCCTGCTCTGGAGAGAAGTATCTTTAATGTTGTACTTTTTCACGATTACTCTTCCTCCAAGGTTATGCTTTTGGATCAAAATGTTGAAGCAATGGTTATATTAAATAAATATAATGGACTGAATTAATAAAAAAAATTATATTGTTATTTAAAACTGGTCTAATTTGGCCTGAAAAGGATCTGTAGATGTCCTTTCTCTTCTTTCTTAAAGCTCCTGGCATGGAGGGGAATCCCTTAATGGGTTCACTTGCCTTCCTATCTGGAAAGATATAGAAAATTCTGCATCTCTGATCTCAGATCAATGGCTACAGCTTCTATTTCCCCTGCTGCACCCCAGTAGAAATGGAGCAAGGAATCCAGCTACACAATTCCATATCCACTACTTCCACCACCCCATTTGCTTTCCTTTCCCGGCTTGTGAGCTGCTCTGGGTGAAAGCCTTTGTTCCCTCCTTTCTGAGACTGAAAATAATAGGGGCACCCTCTGTGCAGGCTAATGTTCCCAGTGGAAATGGGGCAAGGAATCCAGCTACACAATTCCATATCCACGACTTTCACCACCCCATTTGCTTTCCCTGTTGGGCTTGTGAGCTGCTCTGGGTGAAAGCCTTTGTTCCCTCCTTTCTGAGACTGAAAATAATAGGGGCACCCTCTGTGCAGGGAGAGGAACTCTGCACAGAGGAGGAGGCCTCAACGCTAGGAATAGAAAGGACCAGATGACTTCAGTGGGGTTGGGGAATCACCCCTGAAGACATTACCTAGTCTGCTGGCTTGGTTCAGGGAAAGCTATGTGGTCCGAAGGACCAACATAATTTCCCATCCTTGCCTTAACTTGGAGGCACAAAGAATTAAAACTGAAAGGAACCCTGGTTTGGTTCAGGGAAAGCTATGTGGTCCCAAGGACCAATGCAATTTCCCATCCTTGCCTTAACTAGGAGGCACAAAGAATTAAAACTGAAAGGAATGGAAATGCTCTCGCCTTCAGCATTCAGCCTTCCAACAGGGTCATGCCAGAGCACAGGCACACCACCCACAGAGGCCTTCTGTGTGGCCTGTGTGGGTGGCCAAGCTGCCAAACTCACCACCTCCTGCTAAATTCTACAAGGAAAAAAGTCCTCTCTGCAGCTCATCAAACTGCTGGTTGGCAGGCTGCAGAGAATGTGATTGTAACAGGGATGATGGTGTGTAAAAAGGGTCAGGCTGGTGCACAGCCTCACATCAAGCAGGGAAGCATGATGTACATGGGGGGGTGGCACACAGGGAGGGAAAAGGGGGGCAGGGGCGAGTTAACACCATAATCCCTACAGAGTCGTGTTCTCCATGACTACTTGTGTGTGATAGACAGCAAGACAAAGGAAGAGAGAGAGAGAGAGAGAGAGAGAGAGAGAGAGAGAGAGAGAGAGACTGGTGCATATGCATGGCACAGAACAGTATAGAGAGAGCTGATAGGGGAAGGGTGACTTTGGCCTTGCGGGGCAGGGGCGAGTTAACACCATAATCCCTACAGAGTCGTGTTCTCCATGACTACTTGTGTGTGATAGACAGCAAGACAAAGGAAGAGAGAGAGAGAGAGAGAGAGAGAGAGAGAGAGAGAGAGAGAGAGACTGGTGCATATGCATGGCACAGAACAGTATAGAGAGAGCTGATAGGGGAAGGGTGACTTTGGCCTTGCTGTCACCCATCACTGTATGCGGTCCCTGTCCTGTTACCATAAGCTGCCTTTGGGGCAAAAAGAGTTTGCTACTCTTGCCAGAGAGATAGAACCAAACAGCAGCCACAGTACATCCCCAGTAGTATTTCCATTTGAATACTATCCTATGCAGGACTGAAGTACCATAAAGCCTCTCTACTCCAAGTCTTGATACCCTGTTGGTTTGCAGCAGTTTCCCCGACACATTCAGCTGCGAACCAGAAGTGTTCCTACAGTTTCATTCAGGCGAAGACCCTCTGGGTAAACCAGAACCTCTGCAAAGAGAAGAAAACACCGCCAAGAGCTGCAAGGGAGAGTCACCCACCTGGGTATGAGCGGTGCCCCCTGGAGGCAAGCAACGTGCTGAACACTCTCCCACGCAGGACATTCAGGAGCACTACGCTTCATCTTGGAGGGGCAGGGATCCTCCCCAAGATCAAAAGTGGTGTTCAGGTCACGTGGAGGCACTGGAGTCGAGCAGTTCTGGGCCACTGAGCTGCCCAGAGGCATGCGGCGCTTCAGTACTGTTGGAGGGCAACGCCAAAGGGAATGATGACCACTTAGGCTAGGAGATCCAGCTCTCTCTGCAGTTGGAGTACAACTGGAATCCCCTGGCACCACAGCTGCCCATTCCTTCAGGGAGCCCAACTGTGGGGGAGAAGGACAAGCCTTCCTCCGGCGCTTTGCCCGCGCCTTTGCGTTAGATGGGGTCCTCCTTTCAGATGGGGACATGCTCTCCGTTGACTTCCTTCTCTTCTTGGCTGGAAGGTGAGGAGTCTTGAAGACAGGGCTGGAGATCAGGAAAGCCTCCAGTGATGCACAGGGAATAGCAGGACTATCCACTGGGCTGGCGCTCTCGGCTGCAGGAAGGGGAGCTGGAAGGACAGCTGCAACACAGATGCAGACACAGGTCAAGCCTAGCATCCAAAGCCTACATACCTCCTAAAGTAGGATGGACCACATGTGGCCCTCTGCCCATTTGTACAGGTGTCAGGTGTCCCTGAAGTTTAGTGTGTGTGTGTGTGTGGGGGGGGAGTCCAGCAGGAAAAAAAAGCCATCAAAAGCTGCAATCTTCATTTAAAACTAGATGTTGATTTACCTCCCCCTTGAAAGTCTTATCAGAAAGTAAGAAATGGATCTCTAGCGAATTTTGGCTTTATGTTTCGGAACAGTATGACCCATGATGGATCCTGGGACAGAAATGTGGCCCATGGAGCTTGTCCATTAAACCCTGGCAGTTTAATGTCACCACATTCACTCCCATCCTCCCCACCACAAAAGGATCACCATTATCTATAAGTTGCTGCGAGTTCTGATCCAGGCTGGCTTGAGGGGTAAACTCCAGTTCCCCAACTTGCTCCTCCACAGCAGAAAGCTTTGGGGCTCTGCCTGATTCTTGATGCATCAAACCATCCAGCTCTTCAAACTCAGCTACTGTATCTGGAGTAAGCAGGTTGGCAGCCTTCAGAAGGGTGTACTGCTTTTGTGCCACGCGCAAGATAGCCATGGCTAGCCTGAAAGAAACAAACAAACCACCACCATGGAATCTCAGCTGGAGAAATAACTTTTTCTAAAATGTTAAAACAAATCCAGAAACTGGCTAGGCTCTTCTTTCCACCCCAATAAATGCTGCTGGGGAAAACCAGCATTTTGGAAATGTTGCCGTGTCTGTGGCATTGATTTGATGACCTATAGGCCTCTGCATGCATAATAGAAAAGTAAAACCGCAGGCCAAACAAATCAGTTACTCACTCTGTGTATCAAACAGAAAGCTGCCGACTCACCTCTCCAGCTGTTTTTTGTCCATTCTCTGTAGCTGAAGATTCAGCCTCTCCTGCTGCTCAACTGGATTTGAAGGCTCCATGGAAGAGCACCCAGAGGTTTTCTCCGATTCCTGGATTTATCCAGAATAGCAAAAAAAGGAAGGTATGAAACTGAAAAACTTATACTCACCTCTGAGGTTTCACACACCAGCTGGCTGAGTTGCTGTCAGATCGTGCAACATTCACCATTATGGTAAATCAGAGGAGGGTATTTTGCAAACCCCGTTCCCCCAAATAATGACATGATCCAATACTTAAAAACAAAACAAAACAAAACAGCAGTATGGCTCCCAGCCATTTTCCTAGCTTATCTGATGCTACTTTATTTTGATTCTGTTTTCTTTGAACGCATCCAGTGGTCAAACAAGGCTTACAGCCTTTCTACTTGTTGAAGATTTTATTTCTTTACCTTAACTGCCTTTATTGTTTAAGACAGTCTTCACTCAGACTAAGTAATTCCTGGTTTCTGACTGCCAGTCTGTGTGGAAGGAAGGCAGAAAGTACTTTGGTCTGAGTGAAGATTTCCTTAGAAATAAATTTTTTAAACAAAAATAATGGCTGACAACATTATGTGACCATTAAATAAGTTACAGCAAGTTGAAGTAAACATAAAATAGTTGTAAATAAGCTGGCAAAGTGTCTAAGAACTGCACTGCAGGCTTTATTTCGTGGGATATTCCATTTTTGGTACCATTTTGCCTTTTTTGCTGGATGGCTAGGGGTGTAAAAACACTTTGCCCTCCCTTGTCTCTAAATGTTAAGAAGAAACGACCACTGCATTCCAGTCAAGTATCCTCAGATCCACTGCTAGTTCTGCAGGACAACTGTCCCTGGGGGAAAGGATGAGGTGGGGAACCTTATGGCCTTTCTTATCCATGCTGTAGTTTGCAGAAGGTTAAGAAACACCTTTTTCCTGTCTTCTCCACATGGTAGCATGAATGAACGACAGCTGCTCCTATCCTTTGGAATGTCAGACAGACAAAGAGAGACAGGGAAAGAGGCAAGGGTCCTCCTCTTCTTCTTTTTTTAAGTGTTTGGAGATGACGTAAAGCAGCAGGAATCCCTCCTGTTATCTGCTTGCCCAGATAAATGAAAGAAACCCCTTTGTACATCAGAGGAGACTGGAGGACAGCAAGCGCAAACACAGGGCAGCGTGAAGGCCAGGCCAATCTCTGTTAGCCCCCCGTGTTAGCAAACAGTGCAGTGAAGGTCTTGTGACAGAAATCAGGCAATTGGTCTGGGAGAAAAAAAACATCCACATAAGGAAAGGAAGGACAAGAGGGAGGGTCCACTCTTGGCAGTGGAAGGAGTGCATAAATAAGAAAGCTAAAAAAATGGAAATAAGGCCTGGGAAACACAGAGGCATGATGGTTACAAGGAGTGCGCACAGTAGAAACTTTTGTTTCCCTTTCGTTCTGGTTTCTTGCACTGGTTGTCTCTTAGTCTTCTGGTTTTTCGTTAGCTTGTCCTTCCATTTACCAAAAAAGGGGGGGCACCTCTTTTGGGTCATTTTGTTCAGTCCCCTCACCCGCCCCCCCTGAATTCGGTGGCAGCACCAAAGCGACAAGGCAATGGGGCTGACAGATCTCCCAGCAGGGCAAAGAGGCCAGTGGTGGCAGCTGCAAGGGAAGGAGGAAGAGAAGAAAGGTCAAGGCTAGTAGAGTTTATGGGGGTGAGGAGGCAAATGGCATCTGTGGTAGGAGAAAGAAGGGGGAAAGAGAAAGAGGAGGCCTGGCAGGAGGGCAAGGAAGCGAACACTGGTGGTGGCATCCAAGAGGAAGAAGAGAAGGACTGGAACTGGCAGAGAGAATGGCAGTGGCCGGGGGTGGGGTGGGGGTGGGTGAACCAGCAGCAGTAGTGGTGAAAGGAGGAGGAGGAGGTGGTGGTGGTAGTGAAACAGTAATGCTGGCAAAGCTGTTAGTGGGGCAAGGAGGTGGACAGCAGAGAGGGTGAGGCAAGGAAAAAATTATCGGTTATTTTAGTAAAAGAAAGGTTTAACAAAAGAGGGGAACAAATAAGGATCTGAAGCTTTTGTGCCCCCCTCTTTCATTTAAACAAATTCTTTGGCTTTAATAGGCTCTCTAAGGGGAATCCACAGAAGAACCTACAAAGGAAGACCTCTTTTGTCCCCACCCCATTCTGATTAATCCAAAATCATCATCATCATCATCATCATCATCATCATCATCATCGTCATCATCATCATGTCATCAAGTCAATTCTGACGTAAGGTGACCCTTTTCAGGATTTTCCAGGTAGGGAATACTCAGAAGTGGTTTACCATTCCCTTCTTCTGGGACATCCTGGGACTGTACAGTTTACCCAAGGCCACACATATGGGCTTTACTCACAGGAAGCACAGAAGGGAATCGAACTCCCCACCTTTGGCTCTGCAGCCAGGCACCTAAACCACTGAGCTATCCAGCTAGCTAATCTAAAAGTCTCACCCCTAATATCTGAGGCAGGCAGGGTCACCATTTCTCTCACTTTTCTGTCCCCCCCCCCTTATTTCTCATTCTCCCTTTCACATCCGACCAGCAAGTTGTTAGATGTCAGAGGGGTAAACTGATTGCTTGCTGAGAGCTTTTGAGAGGATTCCAAAGGCCATAGGTTCCTCGGGGCTACAAGGAGGCCCACCTGTGGTCTAAGACGGCTCACATGTGGTCTAGAGACTGAAGAGGCTGCACATGTTTACCAAAAAGGAATGGAAACACAAATTCATTAGCCAAGGAACACCGAAATGCCAGATCCATACAGACAATGAAATCCACCTACAGTATTTGTTTTGAACGCTACACTACCAGATGTTTAACTGGAGGTGTTTTGTTATTCCTTTGTCTACAATTCTTTTATTTACTCTGCATAACCAGCTACACGAAACCTTTGCTTCTGGAAGCTACAACTCCCAAAATCCCACTGCCAGCATGACCAGTGGTTGCGCTGGCTGTGGGATTCTAGGAACTGTAGTTGAAACAATAAGTGTTTCCTATTTCTGTTCTTAACTGCTTTGTGAGAAGGCTATGGTCCGAGGCAAAGATTTGACTGGGAACATTCATGACGGGGAGAGCTTTACTTAATTGCACAAGCCTAAGAAATCTTCCCCTTACCTGCTCAGTGTGGCTTTGTCCTGCTCCAGGGGTAGCATTGTTCAGGTTCAACAGTTGCGGGAGTGTCTCTGTCATAACATCACCCTTATTCAGGGCATCACAGCCCAAAATAACCTCCTTTGCCCTGTGCCAAACACCAGACAGAAAGCGTGTCAACTTTTTCAGTCTTGTATCTCTGCTCACTCATCCACTCCTGGGCGCAGCCTTGTTCACACTTGAGATTTGGATGGTGTTCTCTTCTTAGCAGGGGAGGATCAGAAATGCTGGCCCAGCCTTATTAATATGGTGCGGGGGACATGGTAACTAACCTCTTTCCTTAAGCTGTTCTGCTTAACATGTGGAGCTCCTATCTTCTTATGCCCTTTCACATCATCATAACACTTTGAATGTACCTCAGGACTGGGAACGTCCACCTCTCCAGATGCTGCTGAACAGCAATTCCCATTATCTCTTAACTACTAGCTGTTCTGCCTAGTTGCAGTCAACAATGTCTGGTAGGCCACTGGTTTTTAGCCTTGGGTTACTCAGGAGTTTTGGACCAATTACTGGCTGTGCTGCCTAGTTGCAGTCAACAACATCTGGTAGGCCACACCTTCCCAATGCCTAACGTAAACAATGCTTCAGACTTTTCAAAGCTCCTCATGTCCACTATCGTGTTGAAATTTGCAAAAGAACTCTGTAGGCTAGGCCAATACCATTATCCCTGTGTTGAGATGGAGGAAAGGAAAGAGGTAAAGAGAGAAGAGTTTGTCAAGGGCTGCCTAGAGACTACATGGCAGAAGACGAAATTAAGTCCTGAAACTTCCTGTTTTTCACCTGATCCTCACAGATGCTCTACCCACTCTTGTCTACCTTGTATGTCTTTGTGCTTCCACATCCACCATGATGGAGGGAGGGACAATATAGTATGTTCCTCTCTCCTTTATCTCGGGGGCATAAGTAATAAATACTTCACTATGCAGAGGAGAGGTGGGCAACTGGTGGTCCTCTGGATATTGCTGAATAACAATTACAATTACTCCTTACTATCACTTATACTGTTCAGGACTGATGGGAGCTGCAGTCCAGTCACATCTAGATGAACGCAAGTTGCCCATCCCTGATGTAGACAGCACCTCTCAAAATGGATTACACAACAGCAAAAATGCCAGAGGACACTTTCCCCCCTAAACAAGAGCAAGCTAAGCATTCCACCCTTTAAAGAGGGCTTAAAAATAATTTAAATAAAATGGCTGTGGAAGAAAAGAAAAAAAGAAAAAAAATTAAAGGACCTTTAGACTCAGAAAATAACAGGCAACTTGACTCCTGGTTTAAAGGCGAAGAAGAAGGAAGGGTGAGCGGAGGGCCTTCACTGCTTAAGAAACTTCTGTTTCTCTTTTCTTTCTTGCAGGCTACAGCCCTACCTGAGGCACTTCTCCTGCTCAGGACATGGTGGAGCCAGAACAGCTGGTAAACAGGAGTTAAACTTCGGGATATTTTGCTCATAAGCACGGAGCCTCCCTCGTAGGTCTGCCACCTGAAAAGGATAAAAATTGGTTTCTTTCAACAGGTTTCTTTGATGGCCCCCAAAATACTGCCCAGCTATGAAGTGGAGTAAGTGCACCTCCAGTTTTTTTTGTACTATGACCCTCATCAGCCCTAGTTAGCATAGCCTGTGATGAGGAACAGTCGGGGTTACAGTCCAACAACCAATGCTTGGAAAAAAAGTGACTTCTTTGGATATCAACAGCCCACAGCCAGTGGCAATAGTGGCTGGGGGATTTTGGGAGTGTGGCCCTATAAAGTAAATTTCAAAAGGTTTGCAAACAACATGCGGAAGACCATAAGTCCCCATGACACAGACATAACAACTTGACAATGGTTGCACTCTCATGGAAACCCCTGAAGGGTGTGGAATGGGATGTGCCCTTGTGCATATGGGTGTATGGCAAGAGATCTAAAACAGCACTATTCTTGGCCCTCTCACACTGCGATCCCCAGTGTAGTGGGGAGTGAGGTGTATGTCTAGGCTACTCCACTGCTACTGCCACCAGGAAGCAGGTGTCAGCAAGAAGAGTTCCAAAATCATCATTTGGAGACAGATGGCAAGAGTCAGGTGGTCTGGAGCATATGGATTAGAAGACACAATGGTGGGACACTCACCCAGCTAAGTGTTCCCCAACCTGGTGCCCTGCAGACGGCATGGCCTACAAGTCCTATCATCCCCACGACTATGCTCGTGGGATGATGGGAATCCTAGCTCTGAACACATCTGGATAGTACCAGGTTTCAGAAAGCTGAAATCAGTGGAAAGATCTAGCGAGGGGGGGACCCACAAGGAGCAAACCCAAGGAGCTTCGGAGAGAATGTTGTGGCTTAAAAATGCAGGAGATAGAGCTTCTTGAAAAAGCTTAAGGCACGTAGGAAGATGCGTTATTCGGATTCAGACTGTCGGTTCAATGTAGTTCAGTACTGTCTGCCTGGACCAGCGGCAGCTCTTTCGTATTTTGGATAAGAGTCTTAATAAGCTCTTCCTGGAGCTGCCCAGGTTTGACACTAAGACTGCCTGGGATTGAATCTTTTGCACAAAAAGGATTGGCTCTGCTACTCAGCTATGGCATTTCCCCAAAATATCAATATACCAAAATAATTTCATAGATTGTCAGAGATGGGAAAACTTACATTTTTGGATGGCAACTCCCAGAATCTCACAGGCAGCATGGCTGGTGCGTATGCTAACTATGACGTTCTGGGAGCTGGAATAGCTTTTCCCATATCATGCTAAACTTAAGAAGACTGGTCCTTAATAGCATGGTGGGAAAATGTTTTAGATAGAAAGCAGAAACATTTTTCATTCCCATGACAACCGTTCCTCTGCCCTGCCTTGCCTCAACTTTCCAAAGAAAGGATCTATCCTGCTGTGGCTCCAGCACCCTCCTGAACTCACTTCTCCCTCAAGAGATCTATCAAGAGTGATCCATCCTCACCTCTGCTTTCAGCTGCTCACAAACTGCTGCATAATGGCTGGGAGGGTAATCCATGATGACCTCGTTCTTTTTTAGCTGCAGATCAGGACAGAGTACAGAAAGAAAAAAGGGTCAATTCAGGTAGAGAATAAAAGAAGGCTTTCTTTATTTATTTATTTATTTATTTATTTATTTATTTATTTATTTATTTATTCCATTTATACCCCGCCTATCTGTTCGTTGCAAACACTCTTTATCCAGGCATTCTGTATTTACACAAATTGGAATTCCAGACTAAAGAAGAACAAACTGGTACTGTATGTGGAGGGGGGGGAGGTGGCGGGAGGGAACGATCCATAAAAATGAATTGCAGATCTGCATTCCCAAGCGCCCCCCCATTACTCCTACAGCAGCAGCTAATCTAGAAAATGCCAGTTACAGGGAGGAGCCCAAAATCCAGAAACTTTTCTGGAGAGGTACAACCATTTATTCTATAGACTATCAATGAATTTGCACACACTGGAACATACGTGCAGGTAAACTAAATAAACACCTCCGTGTGGGTACAAAACAGTTTCCCTGTGTATTTGATGACTAGGAATTTGTTTCTCTTAACATGACAACAATGATGAGATTCTCAACATGCTGGCCAAAACCTTATTGGTATAAATCTACACTGTATCACTATCTGGGCCGGTTAAATGTAGTTTAAATGAATTAAAAGCCTCCTATCCTCCCTCCTTTCAGGTTCATAGACTTTCTAAGGTTCCCCTTTGCCCTAGGGAATCCTTTGAGAACTTCTGGATTGCAGGGGGGCGCTTTAATAACCAAAAATTGTTGCCAGAGCACTGTTGGTGATCTTGATTCTGATGGCAATCTGGCAGTGATTTTTGACTATTAAAGGCTCCTCCCCCATCCAACGGTTCCCAAAGCTGATTTCTGTAACATACACAGATTGAAGAATTCAGCTTTTCTTGATGCAAAATGCTGGTCATTTTGTTGTTGTTTAGTCATTTATTCGTGTCCAATTCTTCGTGACCCCATGGACTAGAGCACGCCAGGCCCTCCTGTCTTCCACCGCCTCCTGGAGTCGGGTCTAATTCATGTTGGTAGCTTCAATGACACTGTCCAACCCTCTAGTCATCTGTCGTCCCCTTCTCCTCTTGCCTTCACACTTTCCCAGCATCCGGGTCTTTTCCAGGGAGTCTTCTCTTCTCATGAGATGGCCAAAATATTAGAGACTCGCCTTCAGGATCTGTTCTTTCCAGTGAGTACTCAGGGTTGATTTCCTTTAGAATGGATAGGTTTCTTCTCCTTGCAGTCCAGGGGACTCTCAAGAACCTCCTCCAGCACCACTTTTCTTGAACAGATTTCTGGTTTTCCCCTTTCTATTATTTTCCTCTATTTCTTTGCACTGGTCATTTACCAAGACCCTCTTGTCTCTCCTTGCCATTCTTTGGAAGTCTGCATTCAATTTTCTGTAACTTTCCCTATCTCCCTTGCATTTTGTTTCCCTTCTCTTCTCTGCTATTTGTAAGGCCTCGTTGGTCACCACTTTGCTTTCTTGCATTTCCTTTTCTTTGCGATGGTTTTTATTGCTGCCTCCTGTAGAATGTTACGAGCCTCTATCCATAGTTCTTCAGGCATTCTGTCCATCAAATAGAGTTTCTTACATTTGTTCTTCACTTCCACTCTGTATTCATAAGCAATTTGGTTTAGATTATACCTGACTAGCCCAGTGGTTTTTCCTACTTTCTTCAGTTTAAGCTTGAATTTTGCTATGAGAAGCTGATGATCAGAGCCACAAGCAGCTCCAGGTCTTGTTTTTGCTGACTGTATAGAGATTCTCCATCTTTGGCTGCAGAGAATACAATCAATCTGATTTCGGTATTGCACCTTGTGTTGTTGGAAAAGTGTTTGTGATGACCAGCTTGTTCACTTGATAAAACTATTAGCCTTTGCCCTGTTTCCTTTTGATCTCCAAGGCCAAACTTACCTTTTGTTCCTTTTATCACTTGACTCCCTACTTTAGCATTCCAGTCCCCTAGAATGAGAAGAACATCTTTCTTTGGTGTCAGTGTTGTAAGTCTTCATAGAATTGGTCAATTGCAGCCTCTTCAGCATTGGTGGTTGGTGCATAAACTTGGATTACTGTGATGTTGAAAGGTTTGCCTTGGATTTGTATTGAAATAATCCTATCATTTTTGAGATTGTATCCCAGTACAGCTTTTCCCACTCTTTTGTTGACTATAAGGGCTACTCCATTTCTTCTACGGGATTCTACTGGTCATTTTAAGCCTTTTTAAAAACATGTAATCCATATAGTTTCATTGAAGGGAAAGATAACATGGGTTGGAGATCTACCCACAAGGTGAAATGAGTAACCCCCATGCTATTTCAGACCAATGGTTCATCACACATCCACATTCTGTCTTAGATACCCACTAGAAGTTTTATCTCTTTAGCCCGGTTGGCGTATTTGAGGGTGTTGTAGGTGTCCTCATAGGAGAGTGCAGAAGGACTAACGGCAGCAATCATGATGGTCCGGCAGTTCCCACCAATAGAATCCTTGAGAAGGCGTGTAAGCTTGCTGTCACGGTATGGAATATGAGGTTTTTTGCTCTGTAGGGCAAACAGAGAATGAAAAGATAGGTGTATAAAATTCCTTTTGAGTGACAAATACCACAATTTCTCTGTGATCCTTCTACGTACAGTATAGTTACTGAGGCAACAACCCTATATATATATGCACAGGGAACAAGTCTCATTAGATACAGAGAGACCTACGTAAAACTAAACACACAATGAGAGCCAGTGTGGTATTGTGATGGACTGGGCTTGAGGACACCTGGTTCAAGTCCTTGCTCAGCCATGGAAACTGACTGGGAAGTGGCCATGGTGATTCTTAAATCTCTCACAGACCTTGAAAACTGTATTAGAGTAATTACAAGTTGGACAGCATTTAACTAGACAGAACATAACACACATACTGAAAATTGCACTGTTAGTCTTACAACTAAGCCCTCTTGTGGTGAAACAAACACACAGTTATTGGGGGGGGGAAACATTTTTCGGAAGCAACATTTTCTTTCATTCTTTCTTTCTCTTACTCTTTCTTATTTATTTATTTCTACCCAGTCTTTCTCCTTAAAAAGAAGGCAGCTTACACCATTAAAAGACAATATTTACAGCTCTACTCTTGCTCACTTTTTCTATTTAAAAAGCAATTAATGAGAGAACTGTGAAAAAATTACAGGAAAAGTTATATCAACACTGCTTTATAAAAGCGGAACGTGTTGGTTCGTCCAGAATCAATATTTCTCAAACTTATAACTTGTGAATCTTCAAATGTTGTTAGACTGCAGTCCCCATCACCTCCCCCCACTGCCATGATGACGGAAGCTAATGGGAGGTGAGAAGTTAGTATCTCATGTATCATCAACTTTACAACTCTTCAGATCAGTGCAGGAAAGGGCAGATTGTTTCCGGTGTTGGCCCCAGATTTACCTTAAATTCAGGAAGTGATGAAATATTTTCCTGCTTGACTGATTTTTTTTTATTGCTAGGAAACAATGGAGTTTTATAAATTTGTGACAATTGTCTAGGAAGTTTATGTGTTTATTCTTGTATTTTACATCTGTTCTTTGCTAAAACACTTCACAGTTAAATTAATGGCAGTGGGCATTTTTTAAATTAAAAACTGACAAAATATTCACCGCTAACATGATCATGTGATGTCCATGAAGATCCAATCTTGGTCAGCCCATGTCAATATAACCGAGAGATGGAGAAAGGTAGCAAAAAGCATTACCTTGGCATCAGCCAGACTGTTGATGACATTGATGAGGGCTAGCAGGGAGCGGTTGATGTTGGCACCCTCACGAAGTCGCTCCCCTTTGGTGTTTGCCACGGAGGCCCGTTCAGAGCCTGCCAAGTCGATCAGACTCATCTTGGCTACCTGCAGGTCCTTACTCATGCTCACCACACGATCTTGCTGCTTCACATAGATCTGCAAGAGGGAAAGGACGGCAGCCCATAGCACAGACAGTAGACAGAAACCCAGGCTGCTTCCATGCATTACAAGTCAGCCTTTCCCAATTTATGAGTGAAGTGGATCACCTTCCATTCAGAAAGAAGCAAGCACTTCGTATTAGACATTTGGGGAAACAATGCCTTCAGCTTCCAGAGCTTAGATTAGGCTAGCTAAGCATTGATCAATAAAATACAGTGATACTGTGCCTAAAGACAGAATTCAAGTCCCTCCAGAGAACAGCCCAGCCGAAGTTAGACTATGGGTCCAGCTAATCTGACATCCTGTTTCTGACAGGGATCCTGCAGATGCCCCTAAGGAGTAATATCTGGGGAAACAGGCTTCATGAGGGACAGGAATAGAGCAGTTTTAAGTGAGTAACTATGCTGAAGGAGAAAAGCATGCCTTCTGCCTAAAGCATCTTGTACCGTACAGTTAATCACTTCAAACAAAACTTGCTAAGCTTACCTGGAACACTGCATGGGAACGTGAGGAGGTGGCATTAATATCTGTGGGGTGCTGTGTACGGTTCAGATTTCCTCGCCTCAGCATCTCCAGGAGCTGTGCTGCAGTTTTTGGCTAAAAGAGAGCAGAGACCTCAGAGCACTTGGAAAACATGCTCCAGAGCCACAGCATCTGGAAAACTGACTCCCTATTCACTTCCCCACCAGAGAGAAAGACTCAGAAACCTTTTATTTTTTTATATTATATGTAAACCGCCCAGAGTAGAGAAGACTCAGAAACCTTTTCTTAACTTTTTTTTAATATTATATGTAAACCGCCCAGAGTAGACATGTTCTAGATGGGTGGTATATAAATCTAATAAATAAATAAATATTAATAAGCAGACGAAGGTCTCTATAGTGGTGCCTCGCTTGACGACATTAATTCGTTCCAGCAAAATCGCTCTAGAGCGAAAACGTCGTAAAGTGAAATAAAAAAGCATCAATAAGACGAAGGGCTCTACATTGTAAACATTGAAGGCAGTCTAGGCAGGTATGGTGGAATTTCTTGGCCTTGTGCAACAGTGTGCAGAAGAAGTCCTACGTCTTCTTGTTGGCAACGTAAAGCACATCAGAAAGCTGCCTAGAGGGAGATTTTGGAGAGCTAAAAATATATAGGTTTGGAGTTTTCCACTGAGGTTGCTGGAACAGTGAAAGCAATGCTGAATACCTCATGCTGTATGTGGCACGGTGAGAATCCATGTTTAACAGAGATGAGCTACAGTGATGCCTCGCTTAACGTCGATAATCCATTCAAGGAAAATCGCCATTAAGCGAAAACATCGTAAAGCGAAATAATAAACCCCACTGAAACGCATTGAAACCCGTTCAATGCATTCCAATGGGGTAAAAACTCACCGTCCAGCGAAGATCCTTTTAATCGTGAAGCGAGGCACGATTGTATATTGTAAACACTGAAGGCAGTCTAGGCAGGTATGGTGGCATTCCTTGGCCTTGTGCAACAGTGCGCACAAGAAGTCCTATGTCTTCTTATTGGCAAGGTAAAGCACATCAGAAAGCTGCCTAGACGGAGACTTTGGAGAGCTAAAAATATATGGGTTTGAAGTTTTCCACTGAGGTTGCTGGAACGGTGAAAGCAATGCTGAATACCTCATGCTGTATGTGGCACAGTGAGAATCCATGTTTAGCAGAGATGAGCTACAAGGTTTTGGACTGCAAGCATGTTTTAATTCACAACTCCCACCTGCCCTGCTCAGCATAATCAGATGGAAACTGCAGTCCAAGAAATATCTGGAGGGTCACACATTTCCCTTCCCTGCAACGGTTTACCTATCTGTGGTCCTCTAAACCTGGAGCAGCACATCACGTATGTTTCCCATCCCTGCAACGGTTTACCCATCTGTGGTCCTCTAAACCTGGAGCAGCACTACGGCCTCTTTGAGGTGTTCCCGTTATTCCCTGCCAGTCCCTCCTTGCAAGACAGTTTTCTCTACCTTTGCAAACGCTTCTCCTCACTTCCTCTATGTCTCCGCTGCCCCTCCATTGTCACCTGATTCTCTTCAACCCAGTTCTTATGGCCATCCATGAAATCTAATACCCTCTTTGCCATTTTGTTGTAGACTCCTGTCTGGGGTGGAAAACGGTGACACTCTGGTGACACTTTGATTGTATGCAGCCCCTCAAGTGTAGTGATCACGAAAGGAAAAGGCTAATGGTTTAGGGGTGATCACAGAACAAAGAAAGCAATTAACTTTAGAGAAAAGTTAATGAGAGTGGACCCACCAGCGGAGTTCCTAGGGTGATGCCCGGAGAACTCCCTTTTATTAACCTTAACGAGCTTACAGATTGTTGACAGGGTTCAGATAGGACATCAGTTACCTAATGGCCACTTAGGATTGGCCAGAGAGTTATGCTCTGACTCTAAGGGAAAATAGGCAGAATGAGTGAGTCACCCCTCCCATCAGGAGCCGCCCTTCCCTGCCAGGAGAGTTTGCTCTTACACTGAAACAGGAGTGCAGCTGGCAACCTTGAAAAGGGTGCTCCCACACGCAAGGCTTTTTTTTTTTTTTTTTGGCAGTGCCTGGCTTCATCAGAGCCCCACCACAAAAACAAACAAACAACCATTTGATTGCCACTCTTGGAAGCCTCCAAGAGCAGGGATTCGCCTTTTAAATAAATCCCAGATCATGACACCTTGAAGTCTAATATCAAAGCCAACTACACTGTCCAGAGCTGGACTTTCAGTCACTTCAAAGTCTGGTTTTGCTTTGCATTTTTGGCAGTTCATACAACCATACACCCCAAACCCACTGAAGTTGCCAGCCTTTGTTAAAGTCCCTTGGGCAAGGGCCGGGCCACTGACATGCTCTGTTCAGAATCTCGCATAGGATCAGAGTTATATCAGCATGAACTTGTGCTCATTCCATTCTCCCAAGAGCTGGGAACAGCCATTTGTCTTGGTAAGTCTTCAAGTCATCCTCAGCATTTTAATTCCAGACAGTGAACCTAAACATTTCAATTCCAGACCGTCAACCATAACACTCACCTGGTGAAAGGAAAGACCATGCACCACAACCCCTTTCTCTGGGTCCTCTCGGATGGTCAGTGGACCCTTTGGTTCTATGAGGTCATGTATCTGCTCATTGTAGACCTGGAAAGAAGAGTCAGGATTCAGTCCACATCGTTTAAGGCCATCGACCAGAGTCCCTGCTCCTCAAAAGCTACAATATCTGCCCTGTCTAGACACCTAATTTGCATCTCAAAATGTCAAGAAGCTAGTTGTGTCCATGTACCCCAGAAAACTTCAGTAAACCCTTAACCAGAGCTTGTAAAAATTATGTTGTAACTCTTCAGCCAGCACAGCCTCACTGAGCAGGCTGGGAGATTCTGGGAGCTGTCCAGATATTAATTTTCTCCAAATTTTGGTGGAAACTGCATCTTGGTCTCTCTTAAAATTCCAACAGAAATAATCTGGAAGTCATGGTCTGGGATGGATAGTACCTCCTGATAGGAAATGAGCACTTCACATTGCTTCTCCTCCTTCCTGGCCTCAATCTTCTTGTAGAGTTCCTCCATGGTGAGGAACATGATGCCTGGTTCCTTCTCTGATCCCAGCATGGTGTGTGTTTTCCCAGCACCAGTTGCGCCATAGGCAAACACTGAAAAAGGAGAGAACACCCCCAGAGTCATTTTCCAACTGATATTTATATTTTGCTGTAGGATGCCTTCAGCTGCTAAAGCAATTCATGTCTATAACTTCTAAAAGCCCATTGCTGTGGGAATCTAGCAGTAGCTTTTCTGTATTCTTGGGCTAGGCCAAGCATACCCGAAGAGCGTGGGGCTGCTGGGAGTTGTAGGCTATCAGGAGGGCCATAAACATCCCCCTTACCAGCTTAAGCCAATAAAGCTCTCCTTTATAATGGCCAAACTATCATTTACAGTGGTACCTCGCTAAATGACCCCGCTAAATGACGAATCCGCATGATGATGACTTTTTGAGATCGCTATAGCAATTCGTAAAACAGTCATCGGCCAAGCTATCATTTACAGTGGTACCTTGCTAAATGATGACCCTGCTAAACGACGAATCCGCATGATGACTTTTTGAGATTGTTATAGTGATTCGCAAAACAGTCATTCTTATGGGGGATTTTCGCTGGACGTCGATTAGGTCCGTGCTTCGCGAACCGTTTGTTTGCAAGACAACAATTTTTTCGGTTCTGCAAAATGGCTGCCCTGTGTTTTCCGGACCCATGCTTCACAGGACAGCCATTTTTACAGCTGATTGGCACTTGCAAAATTGCTTCCCTATAGGCGATCTTCACTGGAAGACGACGTATTTTCCCCATTGGAACGCATTAAACTGGGTTTCAATGCATTTCAATGGGGAAAGGATTTTCACATGACGACGATTTCGCTAAACAGTGATTTTCCGGGGACAGATTATCGTCGTCATGCGAAGCACCACTGTTTAGTTGGGGCCCCAGGTAATTAATAAACAAACAAACAAACAAAGTTGAAATGTGTGAATTTGTAGAGTCTAAATGAAAAGTCTTCATGTTCCATGCTTCTATAATATGCACTTATTTAATATATATTTTTAAAATGCTTTAATAGCTTTTTTCTCATTTGTTTAATCACTTTTAAATCATTTATTCATTGATTTATTTTTAAATGCTGGAAACCATCTTGAATCTTTTACACAGGGAGAAAGATGTTTAAACAAACAAGCAAACACACAAACAAACAGTATTATCTAAAACAAGTTTTAAAGACAGCTTTCTCGTGAGAAGCCCTAAAATATCAGCAGCAGGTCCTGCAGCAACAAAAGAATCTTGATTTCTATAAATGTGTGAGTTGAATGCACATACCATTTATAGAACAGAACTAATCCCCAACACTATTACTTGTATAGTTTAAATTGCAATTGCATTCCAATCCAGTACTGAAATTGTTGACTGAATTATCCCACACTTGCTAGACAAAAGAGATTGCCTTCTGAGTTTCAGACAATTCAATAAATGCTCCAGAGGTAAAATTTGAAACCAACACTCCTGGCCTAACTTCACAGTCCTCATTTTGAAACTGGCATAAACCAATAGCCATGATTTTTAGAACTCTTGGATTTTTACTGTGCCGTCCATAGAAAAGTGGCGCCCAGCCTAATGAAGGCTTGTATAACTGAAAGCTAGCATCTGTTCATGGCTTTTAGGGGCTTAACAGATATATCATCCTCTCCTTGTATTTAGACTGTGTACAAGGATCAGATGGTTTTCCACCCACCCACCCAACTTTTTACTGCACTATTGAAAAAGGTATGAATTCCTCCTGAATAAGCATGCATAGAAATGTATTACAAATACATGAAGCCTCAGGAAAGAAGCAGTTATAAAAACCCAGTTTGGTAAGGTTGCTCTTCCAGTCAACAACTCATCAAATATTCTGGCCAGCATTGTCATAGGAGACTGTGAGAGTTTAGCCCAGAAAACCAGCTTTTCCAAACTCTGTTGCTATATAGCTATGTCTGTGGCCAGCTTCTCTACCAGGAAAGCGAAAGGCAGCCAATGTGGAGATCAGCCTGCCACATACACACATCTGATACCCAGTGTCAGATGTAAACAAGTAGCACAGTTTTAAGCAGGAAACATCTGGACATGTGTTCTGGTCTATATGAGTCCTGATTGGTAGTTCCAGTATTATTTTGGGCAGGAAACATGTTCTAGTCCATATGAGTCCTGATTGGTAGTTCCAGTATTAAAGGGAAGACAGTATTCTCAATGCCAATCAAATAGGGTATAATCATTAAAGGGTAAGTGTAGAGTAACGTTCCTGTCTGTTTGACAGATGATCATACATCACTGGTATCCATTTCAGCTCTGCAAGCATCAAGCTGTGTAGCAAGAGTTTTAAAAAACTGTTTTTCTGGACTACAACTCCTATAATGCCCCATGGTAATGCTATCTGGGGAATTTGAGAAATCGTTGATTGGATGAGCAACCTTACCAAACTTGGATCATTATTCCTAACTCTAGGACAAGCTGTCCTAAACCCAGATTCCTCAAAAATGCAATGGAGTACAGTTCACATCATCCCCATTCACCATCAGCCAGAGTGGGTGGAGGGAGCTATAGTTCAACATACAGGGGTCCCTCGCGAAGACAGTATTCTCAATGCCAATCAAATAGGGTATGAATCATTAAAGGGTAAGCATAGAGTAATGTTCCTGTATGTTCGAAAGATGATCATACATCAGTGGTATTCATTTCAGCTCTGCAAGCATCAAGCTGTGTAGCAATAGAGTTTTGAAAAAACTATTTTTCTGGACTACAACTCCTATAATGCCCCATGATAATGCTATCTGGGGAATTTGAGAAATCGTTGATTGGATGAGCAACCTCACCAAACTTGGATAATTTCAGTTATTCCTAACTTTCGGACAAGCTGTCCCAACCCAGATTCCTCAAAAATGCAATGGCGTACAGTTCACATCATCCCCATCCACCATCAGCCAGAGTGGGTGGAGGGAGCTATAGTTCAACATACTTGGATGCCACTGGGAAGAGGCAGGCTGCTCTGTGGCATCAGGCAAGAGCACAACCAGTGAGCCAATAAAATCAAAACAAACCCCACCTCCAGTCTGTCTCCTTACCAGAACAATTGTAGCCATTCAGCACGCCATCCAGGATCTCTTTAGTCGTGTTGTGAAACACCTCAGCTTGAGTAGCGTTCTCCCCAAACACCCGGTCAAAAGCAAACACTAGATTCTTGCCTTTCCTTCTTGAAGCAAAGTCATGGGCTTGGAAACCCACAGAGACACTCGGCAGGCTGGACTCATCTGGGTCAAACACCAGCATTCGGTCCCCAATGACCTGGACCACACTTTGGCGATTGCCTTCCTGCTCCCGCGGGGTCTGCGGACGCACCCGTACCACAACTGTCACGCTGCCTTCTTCGGCAGGAGGTACGGACACCATCTTTGCACAGCACTCTGCTGGAGAGAGAATATTGCTCATTGCTAGCATCCCTTCTTCATTGACCACAAATAAGTGTTGGCAAGCTCTCAGAAGCCCTTCCTAAATTAAAGAGAATGGCCAGCAATACAGTGGACCCTCGACTTACAGACGGCTCCACCTACAGACTTTTTGAGTTACAGACTTCTCTGACTGCAAAATTGCAGCCGGAGAATCGACCTACAGACCGGAAAAAAACCCAAAATGGAACAAAAATGGCCGGTTACGGATTAATCGGTTTTCAATGCATTGTAGATCAATGGAGCCTCAACGTACAGACTTTTTGACCTGCAGCCACCGTTCCAATACGGATTAATTCCGTAAGTCGAGTCCACTGTATTCACGATTAAGTCAAAAGAAGATGACTACAAGAGCACAGACCACAATCTCATATGCCACCTGCTCATTTGGTGGCTAATACAGCTCCATGCCACGGAGCTAACAAACAAAACCACTGGGTCAACCAGCTGTGTCACTCCTCTCAGTTCTTCCCAATGTCTCAGCGACCTTCCAGAGCCCAGAGGTGAAAGCAGGACAATAAATTTGTCTCATTTTAATGGTGCTAAAGCGGCAAATTTACAGCTCTGTTCAGCCACAGGGATTAAAGGCCAACGGCATTCATTGATTGATTGTACAGGCTAATCAATGTATTCATTTGTTGCAAGATTATAAACTGGGTCTCAATAACACCTGTCCTTTCAGAGAGGAGCAATCACTTCTCGTGTCTTTGTAGTAAAGCAATCTCTTTGCATTCACCTTAAGATTCAGCTCATGTATGCAAAGCCATTTCCAAAAGGCCCTGCTTTCCATTAAGTTCCCCCAACTTGGCTCTTAAGGAGCAAATTAAGAATAGATCAGAAAAAAATCTAAAAGAGAAGGAAAAGTACATTTTCAGTTAGCAAAATGTCACCACAGAAAATGTTGTGCAAAGTTGAAATTACCAATTCTAAAAACCAGGAGTCCAAAAGTTGAAGATTTATTTCCAAGGGATCCCTTTAAAAGACATCTAAAAACTGTGGATCAATACATTGCATCCTTCCTTTCAAAATCTATCTGTAAAATTCAATTATTATCCCTACGGATTTCAATCATCACTAAATAACACACAAAAATGTGGATTATAGCACACTATGCATAGCATGATCTCTGGCTCCGGCTAGTGGCTATTTCTGGTGATTTTATCTTTAGAAATATATATTTTGGGGATTTTTCTTTTAATATTTTAAGACCATGGATAAGTGAATCAGCAGATACTGATCCCATGAATAAGGAGGCCCTACTGCAACTTGTTCCCATGCCAATTCCACTGAATGCATTTAGTGACATGGCTGGGTGTGTACATGTATTATACACAAACACACACATCCTCCTGAAACTATCAATTTGCTATTCATTCTCCAATAATCTCTTGAACTAGTGTTGTTACAACACTAAGGGCCAACAGCCAGTTCTACTAGGTTCCCAAAGAGGTCTATATGGACCCTCAGGGGTCGACTTCAACTTGCAGGGGGTCCACGTCAGAGAGAAAAAAAAATTGCGGGTTTAAGTTTAGACTTGTATCAAAGTTTTGCAGGGGGTCTACAGAAAACAAATAAGTTGGCAAGTGGTCTATGGGGCAAAAAAGTTTGGCAACTTATCTAGTCAAATTAGAGGCAACAAATAGATCAGTGGTTATGGGGGGGGGTGCTTTGACCTACAGCTTCCCTGAGTTTTAACATATCAAGACAAATGATAAGAGACCATGAGTGTTTCTCTGAACCTAAGTTGTCCAGCTTTTGTGCCAAGACAGTGAGCTGGAGTTTCTTGTATGACAACACATGGCTTCTAGACTTGTCTTTCCATTCAGAGACTCCACTTCTCTGGAACCACATTGGGCATAACTCCATTTCCACAATCGTTAAGGGCCCTGCTAACCCAAGATGCAAAAAGCCAAAGTTTAGATCTCACATTTTTGGACCACAGCTCCCTAAATCCCATAATCAATATGCCCCATGTCAGATGGGAATTCTGCAAACTGTAGTCCAAAAACGTAAACTTTTCCAAGTTCCACCAGATCCTTGATACATTTCCTAACACTCATATTATAGATGCATCAGGGCTGTGAAAAATCAGCTGTAATATTTCTCTTCCACCCCAACACTTCTTATGAGCCCTATGCACTAAGAAACGTGTTCCTGGTGTTCTGTTTCCTGTTAACTTGCAGTATAAAGAAGTCAGGCTGTGAAGTTCTTCCACAGCGCAGAAATCCGCGAGCAGACCGCAAGCTGCAAATACAAGCCGATCTCCATGCACAGAAAAAACGTCAGCAGATGATTATCGCACAACACTGCGATTCGAGACAGTCAAGCAGGAAATGCTTATTTCCCTAGTCTGTTTGTCAACCCTACGTCCATGTCCGTCGTCCACCGCTACCTGGATCATCTACTAGCTGGTCAGCTGGTAACCTTCTAAAGAGAAGGGATTCGAAAACCCATTGATCACCCACCCCCATCCCCACAGAATTGCTCCCTTCCCAGCTGCCCTTACCGCACTCCTCCACGCAGTTTTGCCTTCTTCCCCTCTTCAGTTCAAATCTCACGGAACGCCCACTCGGCTACTTCCTATTGGTCGGTTGCCTGTAACGTACGTCAGCCGGCGTCTTCTAATTGGTCATTCAGCTCCTTATCAGAGGGGGGGGAGGAGCAGGCTTTTCGCTAGGCAACCTGGGTCCGGTAGTCGTTAAGAGAGTAGAGTTTTGTGTGGGAACGGTTGGTCAGGATACAGGCAATACGTAAATAGATGGAGGCAGGCTGTTGCTTTACGAGCCGACTTGGAATATTAATGTCAGGATTAGCAGAGAACAGTTAAAAAGTTTGCCTCTAACGCCGATGGAACACGAATTTTGCGCGTAAAATTGGGGGCTGGGAGGGAGAAATTGTGGCCACTCGGGGTGCTTTACCTGGGACGACTTGTGTCTGATTGTAGTAATTAGACACCAAGGAACGGAAAGTAACTGCAGTTTTTTTTTTAAAAAAAAGACCCTATGAAACGACGCACTGGATTAGTTGTGTGGGGAGTGTGGCGTTTTAGGGAAATGGGAACAGAATGAAAAATTGAGGTGAGAAAATGGGGAGAGTGACACCCCAGCTTTCCTACACATGGCAGCCCCCCCGCCCCTATTTTAGCTCCCTGCTAGCATTTCTATGTGTAACCTGTAGTACTCTGAACAAGAAGTTAGGACAATATGGAGAAACAGAATGGTTTCCTATCCACTGGTTCTTAACCTTGGGTTACTCAGGAGTTTTGGACTGCAACTCCCAGAAGCCTTCACCACCAGCTGTCCTGACTGGGGTTTCTGGGAGCTGCAGTTCAAAAGCATTCGAGTAACAAAGGTTAAGAACCACTGCTATAGACTAAGACCAGAGTATCTGTATCTCCTTATCAGTTGAGTCTCTATGCAGAACATATCATGGGATTAGATTCAGATGAAGGTGTGAAAATTGGTGAAAGAAATATCAATACTTTAATATATACAGATTGCAGCATACTACTGGCAGAAAGCAGCAATGACTTGAAACAATGCGTGATGAAGGTGAGAGAAGAAAGTGCCAAACCAGGACTGAGGCTGAATATTAAGAAGGCAAAAACTGTTAGTACAGAAGACTTGCACAGCTTTAATGGTGGCAGTGAAGCAGCTGAACTTGTTAAAAGATTTTGTATGCCATGGTTCAATTATCCACCCAAAAAGATTACAGCTGAAAAGTCAGAAGACTGAATTTTTGGAAGGCTTGCTGTGGAGGAACTAGAAAAGATCCTCAAGTTTAAGGGTGTGTCAATGTAGACCATGGGTGGGCAATTAATTTCTATAGGGGGGGCAACATGAAAAATCTGAACTGTTTGGGGGGCAAATCAACTTTACTTAAAAATAAAATGAAACAGTGATTTTATGATTGTTTTTATTTTCAACTTTTTAATCTTCACAAATTAAAAGAGTTTTTTGCAGTATGTTAAAGATAAGCAACTGATCAACTTTAGACAAAAAGCTATAAATGGTTTTGATGTTCAAAACTGTCCACGGGCTGGACAGGGGCGGCTCGCAGGCCGTATGTGGCCCTCCAGCCGCACTTTGCCCAGGTCTGCAGTAGACCACTGTAGCTGATTTACAGTAGCCTTGGGCAACTGATGTATTTTTACGAATTCTTCTGTTCTGAAGCCAGATTAGTTGGGGAGGCAGGGGAAGGACAGAATAACCTTGCCTCCCTTGTTGACGTTCAAGGTCTGTGTTAAAATGGAAACATCCTGGAAATAACTGCAGAGCATGCGAACTGAGATGATATAAAGCCTTTGGGTGCTGCAACCAAGGAACATGTGCCCATCTTAAAAGATCGGCTCAAGTAGCAGAATGGGTGGAAGCCTTCGGATTCAAAGAATGTGCTTGAGATAACAAAACATTTAGATAACAAGCAATTTATGAGTATTTCTCTCTTAGATGTAACACTGCGTCTTTCCTTGGCTGTGGGCCCAAACAGGCAATCAGAACCACCATATTTAGTAGAACCACTACTATTCACCCATCTTTCTCACTGAGAAATGTATGCCCCGAGCTTTCTTTGGCAAAAAAACTTGACAGGAAAAAACAGCAGTGGCTGAAGGGCTGTGATAAGCCACTCTGCCTCAAAATGCAACCATGAGCCACCTCTGTACCTTGGAATTTGGGGGGTTAACAAAAAGAGACTCTAGGACAACTGCTTCCAAACATGTTTATTGGCAGTATTGTGTAAAGCCTGTTTTACTGCGATATACTTGTAGCTATTTTTTCAGACTAAATTTGACCCTCATCATTTTTTCTTATAACAAATTTCAGAACTTGAGTACCAAAGAAGGTAGCAGTTCCCACATTTGGCTGTATAGAGAGTGTGTGTGGTTCAGTGGGTAGGAATGCCTGGCTCAGGACTGAAAATTCAAATTCCCGCTGTACTTCCAGGAGAAGGTCCAGCCAAGATCACCCAGAATGGATGCGGCTGGTGGATTACATGCCTTGCCGTATGTGCAGCCTTGGACAAGCTGCAAAGTCCCACCAGAAGGAAACTTTTCAAATGAACTGCATCCAGGTGATCTGCAGAAAAGCTGAGCATATCTGTAAGGCTGGAGGTGAAGGCAAGGTGCCTCTCACAGGAGTGCCATCCCTTCCTCCTTTGGTCGATAAGGAGAGTCAGACCCCACCTATTCCCCCCGCCTAGGAAGATGAAAACACCCAAGCCAGACCCTAGGAAGATAGAGGAGAGTGAAAGAGTTAACAGTCAAACAGCCTGAAACTGGTGTGGCGGGAAGGGAAGGGAAAGTGCGGGAAGTGGTGGGTTGGGGGATATAAAAAGGGGAAGAGAAGGACTCTCAGCAGACTGGGAGTGAATATGGGTTGAAGACCCTTGGACTGGAAAAGTAGAGAACTCCCCAAGGAGGGAGCAGATGCACAAAGGAGAAGAGAACTGACCCCCAAACCCTCATGGGGGGGGGGAAAGAGAGACCAAAGAGTGGTGTAAGAAGCTGAGGGAGGAAAAGGAGCAGGTGGAAAGAGAGAGACAGTAGAGAGAATAGGATGGAGGATGCAGGAGATACAGAGGATGGAACCTGGGGAAGACCCTAGCAGATGGGGGATCCCACCCGGGATGGTGACTGGGTAGATTTTTGAGACAAGGACACCATCCCTGAGAAGGAACTATTATTGAACCCTGATACCCGACTGGAATGGCCGGGACCTTGGAACATTCACGAAGGAAACCCCTTCAAGTTTGAAGAATGGAAGCCCCCGACAGACCTGTTGTCTGATCGGGAGAAGAGTTGGAACATGTTTGTTGACACAGGACCATTGTTTAATAATCCAATAAACGTTACATGTATTTCAAAACTGAGAAATTCCGCTAATTTATTTGCAGTTACTGCAGAGCCTAACACTGAATCCTCACAATATCTGTATTTGGAGCTGTGCTTGATTAAAAGAAAAACAAAGTCTACTGCTAATTTATTTTTTTAAAGCACAGCCAATGACTAGAAATGGTGGGAGTTGTAGTCCAACAACGTAGTGGTTCACGTATTCCCTACTTAGCAGTATAATAACATTATCATCAAATAACTTGTTTCTGGACAATTCAAATGCATCTGTTTTCTGTGGGTGGTCCTGC